TACCGAGTTCCGTTTTTCATGTTAAACCAAAGCAAATGATTCATGGATATTAAGATAAAAATTGTTGTACCGCATTAGATAAAACTACATGAGACTCGCAAAGAATAAACTAATGGGACATTAGATTGATAACATTGAGAAATCTATATGTTTAAGTTGTTTTCACAAATAAGACCGACATAAATCTGATGGGTTGTGTACAACACTCACAACACGTTTAGCCGAGTACAAGATAAATCTGGACACGTCTAAGTAATTAAGGCTGAACGGAATTGAATTAGTGATTCACATAAACAAAAAATAAAGAGTCCTACACATTCTAATCGCAATTGATTGTTTGTTTACGCTAATGTGAATGCAATTTAGTATGAATGAAGGTAAGGCGCAAATTTAATGCACGTAAGTCCTCAATTTGCAATAAAATGGAGAAAAAGAAGAGAAAAGGGACTAAAACCCTAGGTGGAAAGAAGACACTCAATAGTTCGGAAACACGTAATCAATCAATTGTCACTCGCGAGGAACTAATTGACCTCTCAATCAATTCCCGCTCACGCAATCAACGACAAAATCACATAATCTCTACCCTATGAGGATGATACTCTACTCATGAAAATTCCTGTATTTACCCTCGAAAACTTAACGAGTGAAGACAAGAAAAACTTACGATATCTGGAACCTTAAATTAATTCTCCAAGTCACTAGTAACATCCATGAGTATAAATAAACCGAAAAGTTGCATTTTTTATGAAGAAATTGAGTCTTGTAGACTTTAAAAAGAGAAAGAAAATTATAGAGAGACAGAGAGAGATAGAGAGAAACTAAAAGGAGAAATTTTTACAAATGAGGAAAAGATGTTCAAAACACTAAAGATTAATGTATTTATACCTAACAACCAAAACACACAGTAAACACGCGCACTACATTAAAAACACACTCGCGAGCTGGCTAAATAGGGCACTGGTCCGAAGTTGGCAAACTGTTGAGCATAGTTTTTAGAAATTAATTGATAGCCGAGTAATTTAGAACCTCAGTTCGTCTCTCAAGGAAGACAATTTAGAATTTCATTCACTAACTAGTTGCAAAGCACAAAAAGGAAAAACTAAAGTCCTAAAGATTCTAATCAAGTTTGGATGGTTGATTTTAAGCTAATTCTAACTAAAAAATTAAAACAGATTATTTAAAGACGCATAGTTTAATTAAAGACCCAAACTTTACCTAAGACGGAATATTCAAAACTCGATAAAAGACGAAAAAAGGGAAACGAGCTAAGTCTAATGCAACTAGAGGCTAGAATCAAACATTCAATTACGAAATAACCGTTCTTTCAACAAAGTCTCGATTTTTACCTTGAAAGATTTGACCTTTAGCCAACTAATCTTAATTACTAGATAAGCAAACCAAAAGAAAAGACACCAAATTTAATAAAAACCGAGTCAATTTACATCAATTTCGACCAAGACACCATTTTTACCTCAAACACGTAGTAAACAAAAATAGAGCAATGTTGAAATACTAAGTTTTAAACTAGGTACTTACTTTTCTATTGCATTCCCTGAAATAAACGCAAAAAGTTCGAAACTTTAATAAAAACGGTATCGCCGAAAAATTCGCTGAATAATTGAAGTCATGAAGCTCCAAACATAAACTAGAGAGACATAAAAAAAAGAGCTAATTTCCATCTAGAAAGTTGGGAAATGAAAAATTGGTTCCAAAAATACAAAGGAATAAGTCTAACAACACCACAAAAACACACACATTGAATGAATCTGCACTCGCTAGGTCGCGAAATCCAATCGCAGCTAGTGTTTTTGCTTGGCTAATCGTGGCTCACGCTGTTGCGGACTAAGTCTCGTTGCGAGTGTGCCTGGGCGTTAAGGCGGTCGCAGGATGTAGCTCACATGCGAATGTGGCCTATCGCAGAGGCGCTGTCACAGGCTGTCGCTCGAGGGCGAGTGTGGCCTGGCGTTCTCGCACAATCGTGAACGAGAACTCACGTATTTTGTAGGTGGTTTGGCAGCAAAAATCTCGTGGTATACTAGGAAACTCACCCGGATCTCGAGTTATGCGAGGGAGCTCTGGCGACTGCGCAGGGCAATACAGGGAGACGCGTGCGTTGGGGCGCTGAGCGACGAGCAACGGGCAGCGGGCGTTGTGCGGGCATGCGAGACTTCTTTGGCGAGGCCTAGGTGACACTCGCTAGTGGACGAGTAAGCCTTGGCGACATCGACCGGGGTCTCGCGGCGATGCACAGGCGACAAAAGGTTATGTGTGCGGGCATCCTCGACGATGTGTGGGCGAGCGAGGGCTTGTGCCGATGTTGACGAGGGTTGTACTGCGATTACGTGCACGAGCTACGTGGGGGCTGGGCCACGTGTCCACCAAGCTTTGACCGGGCTGATCGGTCGAGAATTTTGCGGCAACTTTTCTGGTGACTTTTTTTGCAATTTTTCGGGCACTTCTCTGGCGGCGTTAAACGTGTCTCTAGAGTGCATTTTCCTACAAATAAAAGACAAAAAGAAAAATAAAAATCACAGGACAAAAATACAAAAATGAGCAAAAACGACTAAATGGATAAAAAATAAACAAAAACGAGCACAAATAAACTCTCAAAAGTATATATAATAATAATAAAAAAAACATACAAAACAAATCCCACACACGTAGCCTTTTGTTTGTACTCATGCAAATAATATTGTTTACCTTTTGAAAAGATAAATTTGTTGATTAGTCGGAAAATATGTGTATTTTACATATTTATTAGCGTATTTTTATATGCTTAATTTTATGTCACTTATATGTTTTTCGACTTATTTATTTATTAGATGGATTTAAGTGCTATGATATTTTTATGTTTTATTTTCAGAATATTGAATTATTTTCATGGGTGTGACACCGAACGAGAATTGAGTGGTTCCAGCAAGTACGGGGGCATCCCGTACTGAACCAGCAGGCCCCGTATTCGTATAGCAGACCCGCAAATCACGTAATTGGCACGAGAATTAATACAAGTGGGCCGAAAATATTAAAACTAAAGTGGGCCTGGGTGGACTAAGTCAAAGAAATTAATTGTTGGACTTTGGGGTATAAACATGAGAAAAGTGACGTGGCCCAAGAGGAAGGGAGGTACATTAGGAGATTTTTGCTTGCGGGGGATTATTTATTTCATACTTTGACCTGGACACCTTCTTGGGGGGCTGCGGGACGAAATCAGAAAAAGGAGACATTATTCACGCACGCAGCCAGAGACGAAAAAAAGACAGACGCACGGAAAAAGCAGAAAAACGAGAGGAGCTCGACGAATCGCGGAGGGAGACCGCACCCACACACGAGGGAGATAATTAATCTCTCTTTTATTTATTATTTATTTTTATTTATTATGTTAGAGTAGATTTTTATTCTAGTTCCGGGGAAGTTGAACCCTGCGACTTGACGATGTTTTGATTGATTTTTATGGTTGATGAATTCACTATCTTTTTGGAATTGCTTGTGTTATTTTGAATAATTAACCATGATGTGTTAGTCTAGTTTAGATTGATCACCTAGATTAGGCTTTTCATATCTACATCTGAATTAGGCCTGCAATCCGTAATTGTTGTTGTGTTTAATTCATAAGAGGTAACCGGAAGATGGTAACTACCGGGGATAACACGGCCTAATTAAGTGAACGAACGCGGTTGAGTTCACTAATTAGTCTAGCCTATTTTTCTAAATCGTAAAGCGGCTAATTGTATTAAATCTTGAAAACGTTTTTCTGGACTGTACAAGAAGTCAGGTTTAATCGTCGAGCGTCTCGCGGTTAAATTAAAAATAAGGAAAAATTCGGGTAACTGACCGTGTCGTTGCCTAGGGCTAGTAATTTCATAAGATAGCGAGATTTGATACCAGAATTGATTAGACGAGTCAGTCGAGGGTGTAGACGGAACCGTGAACTAGAAGCTTTCTCTTATTTTATTTATTGTTATTTTTATTTTATTTGTTTAGATCTTATTTATTTTAGTTAGTTTAGCTATTAAATCACAATCCCCCCTCTTTTATTGCTTTCATAATTTCAATTAATACGAGAAAATTCACGATTTGATTCACACTCCTCGTGGGATCGACCCTTGCTCGCCACTACTACTAGTTAGTAGAGGTTAGTTGAGGAAAATATAAATTTTAATTTTGCCGCGTTGCGACGCGCGGTCATTTGTATACTTGATTATCATGTCCATGTATGTCAATATCATCTTATCCTGGGATTCTTATCGTCAATATTCAATTTTAAACTATGTTGCCCACACTCTCGAATCATACAAAATAACACACGTTGAATGCTCTTCCATAAATGGATGACTCATCACAAGTCAACTTTTACAAATTTAATAAATGTTGATTTTAACGTTTGTTATTTGACTTGGATGAGTTTTAACTTATTTCCAATCCAAAAGTAATTAGACTTGGAATATCCATAAATATATTAGATATTTATGATCATTTTTAAGAGTATTAAATATGTTTTAATATCATTTTCTATAGTAAACGTGATTTATAAGGTATAATTTTTTTTTCAAACTTTCTTTTTTCCTCATATTTCTTTTAAAATTATAACAAATTTGTTAACATTTTATGAACATATAAAAATTATTAATAAATAAAATTACTGAAATTGTTAATAACTTAAATTACTAATTTTACATATAATATATTAAATTAACCATGCCTTGATGAGTTTCGATTTGGCATCTATATTATACTTACAAATAAATAAATAAATATTTTTATTTATCTTTATAATTAAAATTAAATTACCTATTAATATTAATTAAAAAAATAAATTTATTTAAACTAACTTAACTACAAAGTAGTTATCTAATATAATTTAGAAAAATATATAATATAAGATGGTAAGTCGTGTAAATGACAGTATCATTTTAATTATAAATAATAATATATATTTTCAAAATAGTTAAAAACTAAAACAATTTTTGTTGTTATTGTTATTAAATATTAAATATAATTTTCTTAACAAGTACTCGTGTAGTACACGGGTAGTGCACTAGTATTAGAAATAAACACCAATTACAAACCATCCTTGAAACATAACTTCATACAGATTGAAATCATTTTGTTCCAATTTGCTTCATAATTAAACATTCAACCATACATGGATTGGGAATACAATCTTGATCCATGGCCCCAACCAACCATGATAAACAGAAAATGTAATACAAACTTCATTCACTTTATTATTAGAAATGTAGAAATGTGATGCTAGCTTTATTTGACAATTGACGATCGATGTATAATGCATATTTAACCTCGGTTAAATATGGAGAAATCTTAGCCCATGCAAAGTTAGGATGCACAGTTGAGCGTCGAGAGAGCCGGTTGGATGAGAATCTGCTCGATACGATGAGATGCCTCTTGAGTTAAATGCAAGCCGTCCCAGAATATATAATTGTCCGGATCAGGACAAACAGGTACACCTCGACTCCCGCAAAACCTGTTGCTGTTAAAATTGTATTTCCCTCCAAATCCACAACAAGCTTTCAGTGCGTTGTTTCTGTTTGGTCCTGTTACATGACAACATATAATCAACAATTTTAAGCTTTACGAAAACGAGGCCCAAAAATATCGAAAGACAACACTCAAGCTTAAAAATTAATATATCAGAAAAAATGAGGTGTATTTAACTTGCCTGCCATAAACTGGGTAAGATATTGTCGCACGCCATCGTCAAATGCGCCGTAAAATATGCTGACATTAGGAAACTCTGTTCTAAGCTTTGCGATTGCTTGTTGGAGATGGTTGTTTTTAAATGTCATCAGATTGTTTACGCTTTTAAGACAACCAAATTTATCGTAAGCCTTTGGATCTTTGTTCGGGAATGCAGTTAGGATATAAGGAAAGCATCCGATTGGAGCATTTCCCGGGATTATTAATTGCCTTGCGCCCATTTTGAACAGCTCCTGCATGAACCATTTCAATTAGTTATGTGCTATATATATACAAGTTATATATATTGAAGAATAAGAAATTAACATATATATATATATATATATATATATATACATACCCTTGAAACATTTATTTGAGCTTGTGTTATAATGGGCACATAAGTCCGTGCTTCTTTGATGGATTTTCCTTGGAGCAGTGAATAGCCGATGTCATTGGCTTCAATGTCTCCCAGCAATATAAGAGAATTTGCTAGCCTATTTGCACAATCTGATCATATAGTTTTAATAAAAATATTAGTCATGATAGCGCGTACAATCCAATAATTTACAAATTAAATAAATGTATATCCATCGATTTATGTTATACTAACTTGATCCGCAAACAGATTTTAGATGTGTTTTGAACCAATTGAGCTGTTCGTAAAGAGGAACGGCGTATGGTGGAATTTTAACGCCTCTTTGTTTGAAAAACTTGTGGTCGAGCACCGGGCTTCTTGCTACCGAAAATATGACTCCGTTGCTGGAGTTTGCTTCGGGCGTCAAATAAGGTACGATGCGTGGAAAGCCGAAATCAGCAGCTGCACAAAAACTCATCATCATCACCAATAAGCTAGACATATGAAGATCGTGTAAATAACATATTCAGATTGTTCATCCATGCAACACTAGCTAGTTAACTTCAATTGTATGAATAGAAAATGATTTAATTATTCTATAGGTAACCATACTTTATATTCCAAAATTATCACTACTTAGGAATGATATATAGTTATTAGATATTTTAGTAATAGAATAATGCACAAGAGCATGCACACAATGGAATAAATTTAGATGTGTAATTAGTATATGGCTTTATAATAATAACACATGCATGTGATAATATTTCACTTTTATAAAACAATCTCAAGTCTTTTTCACAAATTCATTCATTTTACATGCATGCTCTCTCTCTCTCTCTCTCTCTCTCTCTCTCTCTCTCTCACACACACACACACACATATATATATATATATATATTATGATTTTCTTGTATATACCTGCAAAGTCGAAATCAATACGGCCATCACCCCATCGACCAGTAGGGTAACCGGGGTACGAACGGCCATAAGGCAATCGTGTGGCCGGAAGTGAAGGTCCCCAAGGAAGAACTCGAATAGAATTGCCCACGTCAGTAACTCCATCACCAAGATGGTACAAATACTGATATGGACATACGGTATTCTGTGATGAAATCGTGCCAACGAAAAGAAACAAAAAAGCAAAAGCAAGCTTGGCAAAGTGGGAAGAACAAGAACTATCCATGGTTAATATATATAGTAACTGTTATTTGATCCTCTCTATCTAATGTTGTTCTAATTGCCTTCGATTGTTTGTGGTCATAAGAATTGGGTTGTATGCAGTTTATATAGACAAAGTTTAGCCACCAACTTGGAATATAATATTCGCTAAAACAATGTTTAGCCAACTGGCGCTAAATTTGGCCTTTTACAAGTTCAAATTTAGGTGTTACGTGGTTTGTAAATTTCGAAAGGAATATTACGAAGTATATAATATAGGTTCTGACTTTAGGTTATAAATCGAACCGTTTTTTTATTCAAATGTCAACGAGGGAATTAATGGTACTGTTTTAAATTAATGAAACGAGGGTTTTTATTTTTAATTTTTGTTTTATACTTTTGTGGTTTTCAGTTGAATCCGTCCTGATGAGTTGGTTATTGGAGATGGTGGAAATATATATAAACTTGACCCAAAATTATCGGGAATTATTATTGAATATTTTTCCATATCTAAAGCTGACAAAAGAATGAAAATGTAATTTTTTTAAATAATAATTTGGATTGTCAAATCTGCTCATATCAGTTGACCTCGCAATTTCTCGTCGCTACCGTGTAAAAAAACTCAGTTATATACTTTTTTAACGTAAGAAATAATCAAAATTATTCAACAAACATGACAAAAAAGAAGCTTTAAGAAATTTCATTTATGTGTATATTTTTATTTACGTACGAAGTAAGAACCAATAAAAATTATTCTACACATTATAATTTGTTGGAATAAAATAAAATATTATTTATAAATAATATTGTTCAACACTACTTTGTAAACAACATTCTTTATTTGGTTTTTTGCTACATTGTCATCGCAACAAATTAAAATCTTCAAACCTTCACATTTCGCAATGCGTGAAACAACTACATACAATTAGTCGTGACTGAACACCAGTTTCTTCAAGAGCATGTCAACATGCGATAAAGATTGACTCTTACTGTTATTTATTGTCATGGCGTAAGAAACATAAGTGGGAACTGTCTTCGTTGGAATTTGAAATATCACTTAACATCAGAAGAAGTTAGCATCATCCGCGGAACCAACACCTTCTCACCTGAGTGATCTCCAGTGAAGATTTTATATTCGAGCACGTGAATGGAGAGCTCTGTAACAACCAATAGCGTCACATTAGACATCCTCATAAATATATCCATGTTCCTCAACAACTTGACCGGAGTTTCTTTCTTCAAATGCAACTTAGGATTCAGTACTCCCGAACATTTGTTAGAATTCCAAAACTCAGGTGTATGTAGATCAAATAAAAAGTTGTTCTGACAATTTGATTTGCACTTACTATCAGAACTCAAAGACGCATGTCCTTCACCCAAATTCAACGTCATGTATTGATTGATTGATTCAACAATCTCTAACATTAGTGCTAATTTGGCCCTGTCCTTCATATAACTGGCATGATCGATTGCTTCCTTAAGCATTGGATATTTGCTTTCAACAATTTGAGCAGTCAGTTCATCATAAGATAGGTGATGGCTTTCAAAATCTAGCAGTTGGTCGACATATGCACCCTAGACAGTACAATGCATTATATTTTCACTAAAATATTACAAAGTTTATATTAGTGAATAAATAAGAAAAAATAAAATTAATAGCGAATATAATTAAAAATGTTTTGTTTTGCTTTTGTTGTCTTTTTAAATCGGAGCATGGTGACCAAAGGGGTAGTGATACATTTACAGCTACAGGTTACAATCATTAGAAAAATAAACAGGAAGTTAAAGATCATGTTGGAACTGTGGGTAGTGTCCATAATCGAGCTATGTTAAATGCCATGCTTTGATGAATCAAAAGCAGCACTTTGAGTCAATAATTTGTCGTCAAGTGGAAGCCTCAAAGCAAAATTATTATACTCTTTTGAATGCTTCAATTGACTGTGTTTATTTATTTATTTTTTTGTTTTTTTTCTACTACAAGCCCTTGCTCTTCACGATCACGATGAACCTGAATTCTCGAAAAATAAAGGAAATTTTCTTGAACTTTTCGATTTTCTTGCTCAGCATAATGATAGTGTCGAGGTTGTTGCTTTTGAAAATGCACCTGAAAATCTTCAGTTGAAGTCACAAAATATATAGGCAGATGTAGTAAAAGCAGTTGTTGAAATTATTAATGCAATCGAGTGTCAAATGGGCGATGCATCATTTTCTATTTCAGATGATGAGGCTCCAGATCAACGGTGAAAGAACATATGGCAGTGGTTCTATGGTATGTTGATACTAAAGTAATTGAAAAGTTTATTAATGTCGAAAACGTTAAAAGCACTAGTGCGCGTTCTTTAAAGTTTGTAATTGATGTTATACTTTGTAGAAATGGGTTGATACTATCAAATCTTTTGAGGACAGGGCTATGACGGGGCAAGTAATATGCAGAGTGAGTTTAGTGATCTTAAGGCACTTATTTTGAAAGAAAATAGTTGTCCCTTTTATACTCATTGTTTTGCCCATCAACTTCAACTAGCGTTTGTTGCTTTATATATCTAAAAATCATGTTTAAGTTGCTTCATTTATTTATGGTGACAAGAGTGCTCAATCTAGTTGGAGCATCATGTAAACGCCATGATCTTTTTCTAGAGCAACAACAAAAAGCTCTTATAAATAATTGTCATTTTAGAGTTCCTGATTATAATTAAGAATACTGAATATTTACATATTCAAATATGCAGAAAATATTTCTCTCTACATATTTCTTTACTCATACCTTGTTACAATATATTATTTCGATTTCTAATTAAGTTATGCTAAAGTTGAAAATTTGTGGCAAATATTATAACCAACACTTAATTGAAAAAGAATGTTATATATATTATTTTGAGGTTAAAAAAAATTATTAATTTTTAATTATATTAATATCATTTTAATTTCTTATAATTTATAATAATGTATATATGAATAATTAAATTTTATTTCTAATCTATTAAATTAATGTGAGATTTTTTATGATATTGTGAATCGTAGTATGAATTTTTTAAAAATGGGTTTGGTGCAATTATTGATAAAATCAAAAGTATTTTTTAACTCCTTGAATAAAGATTTTTGGTACATGGTTCGTTACCAGTTGAATAGAAAATTGGATGGATTTGTTGTTAATATTGATATATCAATTATTGTGATATTACAGTAGTTATATCAATAAGATTTTTGCAATTAATTTCTAAATTTATTTGTACCGATATTTTGCAATGGTCTCACACATACTTCCATCTACATATGACTAGATGCCCAACAAAACATGAGAACACATGATTTGTGATTAAGGATGAAGTTTATTTAGTTATTAAAGATAAATACTTAAATTTCTTTTGATATTGTTGAAAATTATTTTTACAAGTTTTGAAAAATTAAATCGATTGAGTTATTGATAAATGAAAGGATTCTAAACGAATCCTCTTGATTAAATGATTTTTGAATATACAATAGAAAATATTTTAATATATGGTTGGTTACCAAATCATAAATAAGAATCATTGTGGTTTGTTATTAGTTTTGTTAAATAACATTTTATCATAACCTTGTGATAGATATTATAATAAAACTTCAATAATTTATTTTTAATTTTTATTTGGTAACTATATTTAAAATTTTATCGTAAATATTTAAATAATACTTTTTTTAAAAAAAAACTATTTAATAGATTTTTTTAAAGATATGTTATATGGTGGTTACCAAAAGAATAAAAAACTGCAGTGATTCGTAATTAATATGAAGAATCGATTTTTTATTGCGATTATTATCACAAAATAATTTTTAAACTTGATACCACTTTATTTATATAGAAACTAGTGCTATTAACCGAATTGCACGATCTACAATAGGAATGTATAATTTAATTTTTATTTTTTATAAATATTAATTAAGTTTTACTATATTTCTTTTAATAGTAAGTCAACTTATTTAATTACAAAGTTATAGTTACTATTTTAGATTATTTCATCAATCTGTCTCAATATATATAGATATAGATAGATATATATACTGAGTCTATTTTTTACTTGGCATATAATATTTTTTTTAAGAACCCCAAGCATTAACAGCACTCTTTGGTATGGTTATTATATATTGCTCTAAAAACTTTACAAACTTATGCAAATGAAGAGAAATTCTGGAAAGAAGTAATTTAGTAATGGACAAAGCCAAACTATTTTGTCCGTATGTCGATGGCTAAGCCTAAGACAAACGTTCTAATTATTCCTTAACACGGGCTCTTTCTAATATTCGTATCTATATATATATAATTGCTAGCTAAGCAATAAATTTTACCTAATAAATAAAACCTAATAAAATTTTACTTATGTGGCAAATCATTAATAAAACCTAATAAATAGAACCTAATAATTTTATTTATGTGGTATTAATACACCCAATCTCATTAATAAGAAAATATTTCATTATATTTTTTGGGTTAATTAAGACAAAAACCATTATATTTTATGTTAATTGATTAATAATTATATTTTTTAATTGAATAATATAATAGTTAATATTAAAATTAGTAATTATATTTTATACTAAATAATATATGAAAGTTACATAAAATTATATTTTACATCAAAATCAATATTTTTTTATATGATGAAGATGATGTTTATTAATAAATTAATTTTTTTTATGTCGTAGTAAAATTTCTTAAAATCACATAAGCAATTGTTATAATAAATGTAATATTTTTCAGCTAATTAATTGGTCATGATCACTCAAAATTATAAAAAGTATATATTTATTGCATTTTATGCAATCAATATAGTAATTCGTATACAATCAGATCGTCTGTACTATTTATTTTAACCAATGATCAAATTTTAAAATATAATACTATTATATAATTTAAAATTTTAATATTATATACATAAATATAACTTATAATACTATATGTTTGAAATATAATACAATTATATAACTTATAATTTTTATATTATATACATAAATATAATTTATAATATTTAATTTTATTTACATTTGTGCAAATACACAAGGTCGAATACTAGTTTTGGCAGAAATTTAACGTCATTCTACGTAAACAGATTTTTATTATAAGTACGCGTTATTGATTTTCCAGATTACATGATAATTGATATTGACTGCAGAACACTTATTTTTTGCTGAAAAATTCTCTTGAATAACGCTGGTGATGGTCATTGGTCAAGCAATACGTTTTTAAGTTTCACGGGTTACTTGAAAAAGTGCTTATTTGACTTTTTCTTTTTTCTATTTTCCGATGTCCAATCATGGCAAAGCTTAGTGATCGTGTGTTTTTTTCTAAAGACTGATCAACCGTTACATGATTTGGTCCATCATATTTAAGGGTGAACAAAATCGAATCAAAAGTCAAAACTGAAAAAATCGAATTGAACTGTGTGATTCGGTACTGTTCGATTCTATTTTTTTAAATTGAAATTTTTTTGGTTCAAATTCGATTGGGTTTATTTACATTGCAGTGCGGTTCTGTCACTATTTTTCGCGAGTTTCTTTTTTACCATACTAAAGTATATATAAATATATAGAAAAATCAAGGCAAAACCCAGAGCCTTTCGGTGCGGTTTAATTTTGTTATTTTGTTTAAAAAAATTCGTTTCAGTTTGGTTTGATTTTTCCCCAAGTTACGGTGGGGTTCAATTATTTTTCTAATAGATTCTATTATTGTTTCGTGCCGTTCTGGGTGAGTTTGCACCGAACTTCACCATTGTTCACCCTTAGTCATACATTTGTAACAAAAATAGATAATTATGTTTTGCAATGAAATACAATTTAAAAGTACACATATATTTAAGAAAGTATAACTAAAATTTAAAAATACGTATTTAAGAAAGTATAACTATGTGACAACTAATCCTGTCCCAACTGTCTTTAGCACGTTTAAAATCATCTTATTTGACAAAGATTAATTATTCACAGATCCATTTCCATGATTTCACGGGTAACTAATAAAGACAAAACTATTGTGAATTTTCACAAGTGTCACATTGTCTTACCTGTAAATTTGACATTTGAAGCTTTCTTTAAAAGATATAATTTCTTTAAGAACAATGTGTATGTTTTAGACGTAACATACACATGGGCCTAAATTCGACGAACCCCACAGCCAAAACCAACCCCATTGACACTCTCCAGTCTTAGCATAAAATGGGAAATCCTTACACTCAGCTACACAATCTGCCTCGGCTTTTGCTCTGTTTACAGCCTTGCAAGTAAAGGTCGTTGTACCAAGTTCCGTTTTTCCTGTTAAAAAAAAAAAAAATGCAAACAATTCATAGATATAAAGGTATAAACTATTGATAACATTGAGAAATTCATATGTACCTATTGCTGTAAACGGCATCAGAGCAAGAAGACTAAGTATGACAAGGGAAGAGAGACTCATCCTCATCAGCCTTTTCTTTTTTTCTTATATATATGTATATTTGTAAAAATTTTGGGGACAGTGGTTNTCAAGAGTAGATCGTAGTACAACAACTAAATAAATACAAATATATATCATATCATCAGTTTTGCTATGGAAGCATAGAATAATACAACTTATGGAGTCATTGAATGACAACTTATGGAGTCATCTATAACTATTTACAAATAGTGTATTGATAAGTGTTTGAAATTTATTTTAAGATGCATCAGCTGGCTCCACAGAATTTTTGTATATATTTGAATCACACATCTTGTTTCCTCACATCGTGGAGGGTGAAACACGTGCTCATATTCATATTCGATAGGTTTTCCGTAAGGAAGCCTAATTGTTAAGTAAATATACTCTTCCAACAAATAAATATACAATTTCATACTCAAATTTAAAGTACAACATGATAAGAACTATGACATTTCATCGTGGAAATATTAAGCAGCAAAAAGTAGCCTTTGTCTCTTATAAATATTAAGGTGCAAGGAGATTGCTACACTATAATTATCTCTTTTCGATCTCCTTTTAATAATTGGTGAAACACACATCTTTTACTTTATTTACCTTTCCATGCGGGCATGGCTGATATTTATCAAATTTTCATTTCTAGTTATTCTTGTTAAAGGATTATTTTGCTTTTTGTGGTGCACAAACTGATTCACCACTTTATTCCCATCATTTTACAGATTCCAATGAAACAATATGAGCATGGCAATTTTTTGTAATAAAGAAGGCAATCAATTTCATACCAGTAAATTTCTGCAATTGTATTCTGAACTTATAAAAGCCCGTTCAACTACGCCATGCAGAAGATAGTTCCGAGTCCACGTCTTCTTCCCACCAAGTGGCACTCTGCAAAATGAGGCTCAATTTTCACCACATATCACATGAGGACAAAAAATAAAAATAAAAATAAAAGAGAGAGAGACGGGAATCCTAGAAATATATTTCAGAGCAAAAGTCAGTAACCCGAAGAGAACAAGGTAAGAGTGAGGACAACCTTGTAACCTCTTCGAAGGAACTCTAGTGAGCTTCCTTCTTCTTCCTTTAGTCCAAGGACTCTCAAAAGTTCTTCCTTAGTCTAACATATAAAAGAAAATCAAAATCAGAAGAGCCTTGTCTTAGGAGTCGGCAGAAAGTGTGGCATAATCATGATGGTGAAAGTATATTTACTTCACCGAGAGTGAAACGAGTTGCACTATAAGCCACGCAAGCATAAGAATTGTCCCCTTGCTTCAGCATCACTTGCCAAGGCCCTGAAAGGAGATGTGGCACGAATTTGAGGTTCTGTGGTAAGTCCAAAACTCCAAAATGACCAAATAACAAAACTCAAAAGATGTGGACAAAATATTGGATAAGAATTTTTTAGAAGCAAAATTTACATATTTTAAACACTTCATTCCATTAAGGTAAATATTCAATATCCTGTATGAGGCTTTTGGATCCAGAAACTGATCTAAATGCCAATGCTGCTATAGCACCTTCAAGTTACAAACAAGAAGACAATTGTAGAGATATAAACTCGTTTATTCATGTATCACATCAATGTTTTTTTTTCATTCATGGTGCAATTAAAATAGAAATCATACATATTCCTGACTCACCTGGATATTGGCGGAATAACGCTCCATCATAGTTCACCACATAAGGTGCCACAGCAATTGTCTTTCACAATTAAGAGTACTAAAATCATTCCATCTTAAAATCAATCATACAAAACTAGAATCCCAAAGAATTAATAAAAATAAGGGAAGTACCTTTGAATACTCTCTTGTTCGAATGTAGAAAACGGGAACGAACTGAGAAAGAAACCGATAATGCAAATCTTTGCTGGGAAATCCTAAAAGGCCTAGATCAGCACTGCACACACGCATTAAAAGATATTAAACAAAAAAAGGGAGAGAAAAACAAAATTCCACCGAAATTAGGGAGGTTTCATATACCGCAATGTGTCAAGTTCCAAGTTAAAGAGAACAGTTGGGGTGGAGGAAGCAAATTTTTCCTGCACTATCCAATGGAAATACACTCTTGGGGGGGTTATTTCATACCAATTACCATGGAACAAGAAAGTATGAGAAAAGGAACAAGATATCTCACCACATACTTCTCTATTACAGACAGATCTCTTGTGCTACAATTTATGAAAACATAAAGTGATGGTGGTATATCAGATTGCCAACGACCTGTAGTAGAAATAAAATATTAAAAAAATAACTCCTTATAAGATTACCAAGTTCAGTAAAGTAGACAAGAGATTTTGCATGCATGAAGTCTGCTCGAATTAAGTATGCTCATGACTGAAGTGAGAAATTATTTCAGTTCAATGTATTAAAAGAGGAAGCTATCCTGTTGAGTATGTAAGAATTACAAGTTGAAAGGAAGTATGCAAGTTTATGAAACCAACCTTCATTTTTGTCCACAAAATCAAAATCCAAAGTGTCTCTAATGGATTTGAAGAATGTTGTGACCGCTCCACTAGGTACATCATCCAAGGACCCAACAGTTATACCATCAATCTGGAAAAAAAAAAAAATAATTAAAAAAAAATTATATATGCCAGTTTCAAATGGTAAAGACCTAAAAGTGAAATTCAGGCAATATAGAATCCCCATTGCAAGAAGAGTTTTTCAAGACCCTGATCTGAAGCCTTAAACTAAAATGCTAACATGATGCATTAAAGTAATTGCCTTCCTTAATTGTCACTATCACCTCCACCCTCTAGAAAGCTTTTCACAACACATGGAAAGCCGCCTATGTCAAATGTGCTTTCTCAGGCACAAGCAAGACGAACCCAAATATACAGTCCCCTTAGTCAACAAAGAACAACTTTGGAAAAGCTATCAAACAATGCAGGAAAGCTTTGACCTACTGATTATCGGATTAAATAGCAGGAAACTGCTGGAAGTTTTAGAAGTTCTGTCCAAACTGAACAATCCAGATCGTTACCTGATATATTTATTTATTTATTTATTTTTTATCGGTACCTGATATTTTACTAATACTAGTGATGCTGTGAATGGTGTAAATTGTTTTTGCACAGCAGGAAATCTATTGCTTGCATCATTAAAGGGCATTGCTATATCATTAATTAGAAAGCAGCATTGTACATTAAATGTGAAACTATATAATATATAATTAATCAGCATCCTTAATCTGCAGGGTAACAGAGTTACCAATTATTGCCTTTTTCGTAGGCGACAAAGCAACAGTTTTATGATATTAAGAATAAATACAAAAAGTAAAGAGAACACATAAAGAACTAGGATTTCTATAATAACTCAATTACCAAGTCAAAAGCTGCTTTGAAAATATCTGACGCTCTACGCTTTTCAGGCTTATCAGGGAACACCTAAAAATGATAAATTTACATCACAAATAATAATAATAATAATAATAATAATAATAATAATAATAATAATAAGATCTCCACGACCAAGTAAATATATATGAAAAAGGGAAAATTATTCTTTCTTACAATGCAGGCTTTTGTTTCTTGCTTCTCTTGCAGTTTTCTAACAACTGCCAATGCAAGTTGAATGTTGGCATCACTGAACTCATCAGACGAACCCTTCACGTTTTCATCAATTTTGAGGAAAACAAACACATGATAAATGATTTCTATTGACAGGCCAATAGAGCAATCATCCAAAAATCACGTCTAACTTAGCATTTTTTAGCTGGTACTAAGAGGCGAAATGTGAAACTGCCACAAAATCATAACCACTATTGCAACACAGGAAACGCAATTTCCGAAAGTTTTATGTATTGATTGAAAAGGTGCACTAAACTAAGAAGATACCTTATAAGAAGAAATATTGCTGGGCAATGGACTGATGATGCATCCAGTACAATGTCAGTGTGAAAAAGGATAGGTAAGTGTCAGTATAAAAAATGTGAAATCAATCAAGAAACCAACAAGAAAATTTTAAAATATCACATGGCCTAAGTTCACCTCAAGTCTAGAAACACCTCATTATATCCTAAAACAATGTTGTTATAGGGCAATGAACTTAAAGTTCCAGTTCACTTATTTTTGTAGGAAAAACAACCAAATTTCTTACAATCTGCGACGAACCACATCCACCGTTGCATTACAAAATAAAACGATGTCAGATTACTAAATCACAATTGTAAATAGTTCACAACACACATACTGCACAACTATAAACAAGTCAAGCAACAGAAATCCCAGAAAAGCAGGACACATACAAAGATAAAATTCGAGCTATTTCGAAGCACTACAAAGTATTACTCCCCAATAGTGAATGCAAAGATAAAATTCGAGCTACTTCAAAGCACTACAAAATTCTACTGCCCAACAGTGTATACAAAGACAAAAATCGAGCTTTTTCAAAGCACTACAAATTCAACTAGTGGATACAAGATAAAATTCGAGCTAATTCAAAGCACAACATTTACTCAGGAAAGAGGATAGAAATTTGTACGCACGGGAACTCAATTTCGAGACGGGATTTTCCGTCTTGCAGGGCGTAGAAAAGGGAAGCGGCAGCGTCGGACACGAGTACTTCGTACGATTTTGGCTTGTAAACCGCAACACCGAGCTTCGGGTCAATTCCCGGTTCGGATTTAGCGGCTCTTGCGCTAATATCCCTCTTCCTGCCGACGTGAGTTGTGATGCTGCTGTGTCTGAACGGAGACAGAGGAATAGAGGAAATCGGAGCAAAAATTCTCTGCTGGTGAGAGATGCCGATGGAGTAAGAGAGAATGGGGGAAGCCGTTTTCATGAAAGCAGAAACTACGACCGCCGCGTGAACGGCCATGGGAATTGGGATGCGGCGAGGTCGGGTTATCTGAACGCGCGGGCGCGTGAGTGGAGGGAAAGATGAACGGTTGTGGGAATTGGGTGGTTAAGAAAACGGTGACGTTATCTGAAACGCATCATTCGTTAAGTAGCTGAAAGCGTGTTTTTGCGGATTTTGTTTGGACCACAATTTCTACGTTTTTAGCTCACAAAACTGGAGAAAAAAGTGAAATAAATCCACAGAACTTGGGCTAAAGTACATAACAAATCAAACTAACTGAAAAAAATTCCATTAACATTAGGGATTAAGGTGAATTCCAAAAATGTTTGTTTTCATTCCAAATGGGTAAACAGTTAGGCGTCGTTTACTTCGAGGGATAGGATAAAATAAGGAAAATAATCCCGCGTATCCTACGTTTACTTACCGGGATAGGGATGAGAAATAGGTGATGTGGCGCCCATGTGGCACGCGCCTATCGGTTCTTCTCGGATACTTTCCATCCCGCCTCTCCCACCGGATAAAACAATCCCATCTTCAATTGGACTTTATTGCCCTCAAAATTGGATTGGAAAATACCAACTTACCCCTGGGGTGCAGGGTATTTACAAGTTTCATACCAATAAAAGAGAAAAATCGATCATTTGCCCTAGTTGCAAGAACATCACGCGACGCCATTGTTGAACAAATTTTGAGCTCTCTCTTCGGATTCCATCAGGTGAGGTTGTTTAGGGTTCTATTTTCGATTCTTTTCCATCTGTCGTCATTCGCAACTCTCGTAGAACCAAGTTTGAAGTCGAGCAACATCACTTATTTCTGCAGAAACGAAGACGGCGACGAGTGTATGCTTCGGATTCTCCGTCGCAACTAAAGGTGAGCTCCACATTCGCCATATTACCAATTCATCACATTCGCCATATTACCAATTCACTTTCGATTTATGTCCATTTGTGGGAATATTGTGGATTGCCCTAATTACTGACCACGACATTGTTGTGAAACTGTGAACTTGGATACTCCGTCGGCCCTCAGGTGAGCTCGAAATTCTCTAGTTTGACATCTTTCATTTCAATTTTGGTCTAACTTGTTTACTGAACTTTGTAGTTCTTTTTTTGTTTTGTTTATTTTGTTTTTTTTTTTCAGAAAAAGTTCCAGCTTCAGAGGACGGCATCATCTCCATTCGGCAATTTCTCTACTCTTGTCCGTGCCAGGTGAAGGTAAACAGCTTACCCCTTGGTTGACAAAAGTTAGAAATTGCTGCAATTGGTTTAACTATTTTGTTGCTCAATTACTTCATTATAACTGCTTGGTGTGCACGATGTTTCACCGCATTTGAAACAATAGTGATAATATAATTGTACTATGTTAGTAAAATAGAATGGTGAGAACCATGTTTAATTGTTAATGCTTCTTTGAATTGCTGCAAATGGTTGACAGTTTTTTGCCTCACTTGATTTGATGAACTGCTGAGGTTGTCTGGGTGTTAGTAAGTTGTGAAGAAGAATCCAAGTTGCTGTGTCCTGCAATTTTAATAATGCAAGTTTAAGACTATGTGAAGAATAATACAAGATTAAGTTTCTGTGAAGAATAATGCAAGTATTTTGTGAAGAAGAAAGCATGTTTACCTTCTCCACAAAGAATAATGCAAGTTTCTGTGCACAACATTTTCATATCTGCCCATTTGTGTCTTATATGTTCTACCCAAATATGGTCAATACTGTAATATTGAATGCAAATCTGATTGTGGTTGTCCAAAACTGAGTGACATGTCCAAAATTCATGTGGGTATAAAATACATGTCAGTGTATCCTTGCACATACCCTAAAAAATAAATCCTTACTGTGGGTTGTTAATTTGTAGTCTGAAAAATATAATTTAACCCTTCCTTTCTCCAAAAATGTCTACTACTTACTGAGGCTGCAAATGGTTGACATGTTTTGACTTGCTTGGTTTGATGAATTGCTGAGGCTGTTTGAGTGTTAGTATCCTGTGAAGAATGAGGGAAGTCTGTGTGAAGAATAATGCATGTTTAAGTGTTGTGCCTGTTCTTATTTCCCTTGTTTTGATTTTATGCTTGAGAAGAAGTTAAATTGTTTCTGTGAAGAAGAAAGCATGTGGCTGAAAATATGTGTTTTTGAGGTATTAACAATTGTAACTCAGCTGCTGCAAAATCATTAATTGGTTTTAACAACATAACTGAGCAGGAAAATGAAGTACAAAGTGCTGATATGATCACATTTCTTGAATTACATCACCTAATGCATAGATTTTAAGCATAACTGTCCTGATGAGTTTTTTAGCATAGTTTTCTTGAATTACATCACCTGATATGGTCACATTTCTTGTGTAAATCTGAGAGGAAACATCACAGTCATGATGAGTTGGTGGTGAGACCTAGTGAAAGCCCACAAAACAAAGAACACATTTTTAGAATCTACCCTGTACAATATTCCTAGTTGTACTAAACTGATTTTGTGGACAATAAAAAATATTGAGATATGTCAACTTAGTAGCATCTTAAATTTTATTGCTGTGTGGTGTTGAATGCGCATTATGTTGAGTTCTTAGCTTCATCTTAGCTGTATGCATATCAGTGTGTTGGCCATGTATAAGATAGACCAAAAATTTGTGGTGAAGGTGCAACAGGATCAACATATCCATATCTGCCCATTTCTGAATGCTGCTTCTTTTTTTCATTCCCTAGTACATTCATAAGCTTTATTTCAGTTTACTGCAGAAGATATTTAGGGTTCAATTCATGGAATGTAGCTAAGACTGCCATTAACTTAATTACTTGCAATTATTAAAAAAAGTAGGGCTGCCAAGTTGAATCAAAGACAACTAAAGCAAGTGCCTAATCAAAACAACAAATAAACTTTTCCGACTAATTTTCAACGGAGTTTAATTTATAAAATTAAATTGTTATGGTGTACAGAATCCAACCATTTTCCACTCCTAAAATGACAAGAACTAAGTTGAATATGGAATAGAACTTGAATAAAACAGAATCTACATGTATCTTGTCTGGTAAAATGTACTGCCTTCTTTTTTTGCCTTTTGGTTTCGAAATTTCACATATTAAAAAAAACAAGAATGAAAGAGTAATTAATACCAAGTGTAATTCAAGTCAGGTTGTATAATAATTGAGTTGCCAAAATGCAAAAATACTTTGCTCCATTAGTCTCCCTAAATGTATCATTTGTATTATTTGTTTTGATGTTTTGCAATAATTTAGAATGACGTAAATGTTGTGGTTGTGTATGTGAGTGTGGTTGTGTTAAAAAGAGTCTAGGCTTTAAGTGCCGTGTTTATGCCTAAGTTCTTAAAGTTAAAGCTTCTTCAGCTTCATATGCTTGTTGACATAGCTTTTTGAAGAAAAAATCATATAATTGTGGTTCTTTTTGTTGTTTAGTATGTTCACCAACAGTGAATGGGTGAAGTCCATATGTTTTTCAATCTTTATTGTAGATGGATAACTTGCGAGACAAATTATTAATTCTCACTCTGTTGGAAGAGATTGTTCTTGGTGCTCGTTTTTTTTTCATAGTGGCTAGTTACTACTACCACAAATTCATACTCCCCCGCCGCCGTCGACGATCGTCGACTAGCGCCCTCACATACCGGTTGAGGGATAGAGTGCCCCTTCAAGTGAGTCACACGCAACGGCTGGTCGACGTCAGCGACACGACTTGCCTTGAGAACCTCCGTATGGACCGAAACTGTTTTGGTCGCCTGTGTTTCCTCCTTGAAAACAAAGGGGGTCTTGTTCAATCTAGAAATGTTGCACCAAGTGAACAAGTTGCTATGTTTCTTTCAATCCTCGCACATCACAAGAAAAACGTCACGTTGAAGTTTGACTTTACGAGATCCGGTAGAACTGTAAGCAAGTACTTTAACCGTGTACTTGATGCGGTAATCCGCCTTCACAACGACCTAGCCGCCACACCTAAGCCAATCGAGGATGATTGTTCAGATGAAAGGTGGAAATGGTTCAAGGTAGCCTAGCTGACAAGACCCTTAACAACGCTTAGAAATTTTGTCTTCTGTAGTAATTCCAAACTAATACTCTTTTTTTAATTCCTTTTTGTTCGTTAGGGGTGTCTAGGAGCACTAGATGGTACATACGTTAACGTTCGAGTACCGTCAAAAGATAAGGGAAGATATAGGAATCGAAAGGGTCAAGTAGCAGTGAATGTACTTGGGGTGTGCGATAGAAATATGAACTTCATCTACATGCTTTGTGGTTGGGAGGGGTCCGCTGCGGTACCCCCCTACTTATAAACATAACATATGTAAAATAGCACTCATCCAATGAAGTATTACATATAAATAGAACACAATCATTTTAAACGCAGGAAACTATTATTTGGTGGACGGTGGTTACACTAATGGTCCTGGCTTTCTAGCGCCATATAGGGGTGTGAGATATCACTTAGATGAATGGGGTGCAGGGCCCCGCGCTCCACAAAACTATAGAGAACTGTATAACCTTCGCCACGCCAAAGCTAGAAACGCGATTGAACGTGCTTTTGGCATTCTTAAAATGCGTTGGGCAATTCTAAGGAGTAACTCTTTCTACCCCATTCGGACCCAAAATCGCATTATCATGGCATGTGCGCTTATTCACAATTTTATACGTAACACAATGCCTGAAGACCCCATAGAGAATGAGATGCCAGAATTCCCTGATCCCTCCAACACAACATGTGAGGACGACTACATAGATCAAGTGGAAGGCAGCCAGGAATGGACACAAAAGCGCGACCTTTTAGCCCAACAAATGTTCGCAGATTGGCAGGGCGGTGTTCCCTAACGGATAAACAAATATAATTTTTTTGTATACAATGTGCACTTTCGTAAGGTAGTTTATCAAACAAAGTAATTGTGATGAATGTTCTTGTGGACCATGTTTATTTGTTTATTTTTGCTGTTTGTTTAAGTCAAGTTGTTGGGAATGTGGTTATGTAGATTATCCGCCAACAAAATAAATTTGTGTTTGTTGTTTTCTACATATTTCTTCATGTCCATTATATCATCATTTTGTTTAACGTCATTTTTCATATATTGGAAATTCAGAATTATCCAAACATAACTAAAAAATATAGAATTGCAACAAAATTATTGTCGCAACAGGATATTTGTCATGGAACCGTCAGCTACTTCGGATACCGGGAAAGAGGGCGGGTCCACCTCAAAACGCCGTGTTTGGACAAGGGACGAAGAGCGTGCCCTCATTAATGCTCTGAAGGAGATTGTAGTCGAGGGTTGGAAGACAGAAAATGGATTTAGAACGGGCTACGCATTTGTTTTGGAGAAGAAAATGAAGAAGTTTCTGCCAGGATGTGAGATTCGTGCGGAGCCACACATATCCTCGAAAATGCATGTCTGGAAGAAAACATATGCGAGTGTGGCTCTTTTAAAGTCAAACAACTCTGGAATGGGTTGGGACGATGTTACCAAAAGCTTCTCTTGCAAAGATGAGAAGTGGGCTTCCTGGCTAAAGGTTTGGTCGTCCTTAATATTAGAGCATTGACTCGTCAACCAGTTTCACATAATTTACTTATCTTCAACACTTTTTTTTCTTTCTTTGATGGGTGGCCAAAAGGTGGATCCTAATGCAAAGGGTCTGAGGAACAAGACTTTTCCCCACCTAGATGACTGGTCCGAAATCTTCGGAAAAGATAGAGCTTCTGGCGTCGATGCCCAGTCTTTCGGAGACGCAACTCAAGAAGTCCAACAGGAGGCGCCTTATGAAGTATATGATGACATCCCATTTGGTCCCACGCAGCGCACAACAGGAGTTGGTAGCCCGGGCAACGACGGCGGCCAGTCGTCGGGTACGGCTTGTGATAGTACCTCCAGGAGAGGGGGGAGGTCGAAGGGCACAAAGAGGAGGTCCACTAACCTGGTGGACGAACGTTTCATCGATGTTATGGAGACCTTCTCGCAGAACACTGATGGCAGGTTGAATGAAATCGCAAACAGAATTGCGAATGACCAGGCGGCACAGGCTCATGCGACACAGGCTCAAATGGCCGAAGTAAATGATGCGCTTCGTGCTTTCAACTTTCTATCCGGTGAGGACCGAATGGCTATTTGTCTGCGTTTGTGTAACAATGCCAAGGAGCTTGCCATGTTCATGGGCCTGGGCCCAGACGATAGGGCGTTGATGGTTAGGGTCATGCGCGATGGGCGGGGGTAGTGTTTGCGATGGGAAAATATTTTGTTTCTTGAGGTTGTGGTAGCAGTATTATGTTGTGGGAACTCTATGAACTTTTATTGTGTGATCTTCTGGTTTTTCTGTGAACTTTTGTTGTGTGATTTTGTCATTTGGTGACTTAATGGTCATGTGTTGAACTATGTATCGTGTTTTGGGTTGAAATAACATTTATTTTGTTCCATCAATTGCTGGAAATTCCAATATGTTTGTGTAATGGTCAATTTTTTTTTGGCATGAAATGGTTGTACATTGGTTATCCTTGTTCGTGAAATGGTTTAAAATGTTATAATCGCCTGTCGCAGGTTCACTATGCCTGTCTGGGAGGATCCGCCATGGGGCTGTTTCTATGCAGTTATGGACTTTCCAAATGAACCCATACTGGTAAGTTCACGGTTCTCAGTTCGGCCCTTGAATGAACATTACTTTTTGATTCTAACAGACACACACACACAC